GCAGATTTAAAAACCATCTCCAAGTCTCTGTGTTCTCTATCTCTACAACGGCCCATGCGATGGGATACATTTCATTATTTGCATCTCGACCCACCGCGCTTAAAATTTCACCCTTCAGCATCCCTTTAAGAAAACACCCATCTAGTCCAACAACTCGACGACAGCCTGTTAAGAATCCTCTTTTTAAAGCCTCAAAACAGACATACATCCTCTGAAAAACTTCAGGCCCATCTTCACGTATCCTTTGTGTTTTTACTATGACCGTGCTCCCTGGATTTGACCTAATGCATTCTTCAGCATAGTCCCTCACCCTACGAAATTGATCACCAAATGACTCGTTAATCTTTTTAAGGACCTTTGCAATGCATCTCTTCACCTTGGAAATATTCACATGAATATTAAATTCATTGCGTATTTCTTTTTGTAGTTCCACTCGGCCGATGTTAGGATTTTCCCTTATTTTATTTTCAAACTTATCTTCTAGCCATTTTTGACTAACAATCTTCAACTTGAACTTCTCATTGCACTGATGGGTCCCTATCCAAGTCTTCAACTGCAAGCATCTAAAGTTGTTTTCCCATGATGCAGTGCACTTAAGGGGACAGTTGGTTGCACATGTTGCTTGAAGTCTCATAGGCTCATTCTTAACCCACCTAATGTCCCTCTTATGATGCACTGCGTAATTAATCAGGGCTGTTTTGAATTGGATGCCATCTTCAAATAACATCTCCAACTCTAGGTCTTTGGATTCTGATTCAGGATTATATGAAGGACAGTTTTGCTTGACTGGAACTTTAGATTGGACCTCACAACATTGGGCATCCTCATGTTCAGGTTCAGAACAATAGCTTGGCGCCTCGTCTGAATCATAATACTCACTGCTTTGCTCGTCCTCTACATCTGAATGCAAGTCATCTCTCTGTTCCTGCTTCTTTACCCATGCTGTCTTTTTATCTCTTAAGTCACCATCATTGACATTATTCTCCTCATCTTTCTCCTCACCTGAAGTATTATCATGGCCTGCTGGTAAAGTATCTTCTTCCTCTACGACATCATTTCCTTCAACATTTTCACCAGCATTGTCTGCATCAACCCTTTGTTCTGTGTGTACGACTTCTTCAACAGCTTCAGTAGAAGGTAAATCATATTCCGAAATCAATTGTGCTTCATCAATACCATGCTCCACATAAACGTCCACTTTTCCCCAATTGCTGGCCATTTCTATAAGTTCAAGAGTAGATGCATCATTCCATAATGGCTTTAACAATTCCATCTTCTCCGCAGGTAATTTAAAAGATAAGGATTCCACCTTCTTGTATGCATCCTCCGTGATAAACTTTAACAGGTGAGGGTAAGATATTCTATCTGGATCAAGAATAATTGTATGCACCTCACCATTCACATATGACAGCTCTGCACCTTTAATGAAATTTCCCCCATGGTGTATTCTCAGCTCTGCTTCCAAAAACATTCTGAAAAAAGATTTATATAGTGTCAATTTACTGAACCAATATATCAATGTAAAGGTCCCTATAATCTGTTAAGAATTGCAATTTAATGTTAATGATATGGGTAGTAGAACAACCCAAAACAAGTACATAACTTCCTGGAATGCAACTTTTATTGAAGTATTGGATGGAGTTTGTTATCTTCAAAACTCTCTTAAGATAGTACATTTTGAAGGTCGAGGATTTCTGGTAAAAACCAGTCACATAATAATAGACTATATAGCCTGCTCTAAACACTTTTTCCTATTTATTCAGACAACTATATAGCCATTTTAGAGAAGTTCTTTCTTATTCTTACGAAGCAAATAGCATTTGTATTCATTTGTCAATGTTGCTTAATATGTTTGCAGAGTACAAATTCAACATCTTTTGACCAACTGCTAACGGAATTGATAGTTAATCTAAAAATAAATGATACATGTTGGACATAAATAAGTGATTCAACAAATACAGTGCGGAATGAATCAAGAAAGATACTAAATCAATTTAATAAATCAATTCAAATAAAAAATTCAATTTGACCTGCTAAGCATACACAAAAGGTTCGAACTTAAATACAAGGAAAGTACAGGGAGAGTCAAAAATAGTCACTTGAAGAGAAAGCAAATCCCAGCATAGCAGCCATGAAAAGAATAGCCAAAATAAATTCCTAAACTTTGAGTTCTTAACAACAATCCAATACAATATAGGATCAATATTACTTACTTGAACGCAGTCTTAGTAGATCTAAATTACTTCAATGAATGAGGTGGCGATATTCCTGTGAAATCCCTCTGATTATGTCGAAACCCATGGAAGTCTTTAAGCCTTACTCAAAATCGCAGGAACCCTAATAGCGATAAAGGAAGGTAGACGATCTGCGATTAACATCCACGCTGGTTTTTTTAATCTGTGAGCATTAAAGGTGAAACCGGCTGATGTGGGGAAAAAAGCCAAATCAGGTAAAAAAGCCAGATCCGGGACATGTAAGCCTTTACCGGGAATTCCATGTGACCCACCGGTCATTTGACCCATGTGCCGTTTTTTAGAGAGTAAGTGTACTTATGTGACTCTTTTTTAAGTTCATGGGCCTATGTGACGGTTGAGTAATAGTACGCGGGCTTATTTGACCCCTTTTCCTTCTTTTAAATACGGAGGGAATATAAAACAAAGAATATTTTGTAGATACAAAAGATTACGGAATATGAACGAAATTAAGGAAATAGTATATGGAAACTGAAGTTAAGGAAATAAAAACGTAGTATCAGACAACATGCGGTCATGGGCGGATCTATGTTGGGGCAGGGGTGGGCTCCAGCCCAGCCCAGCCCAGCCCAATTTATTTTTATTATTATAGGTATATGTTTAATTTCTAGCCCACCTCAAAATTAATGTCAAGCCCAGCTCAAGCCTACCAACTTTGTAATTCTATTTGATTATTAATTGAATATTTTCAGTAGATAGTAATAGTTTTTATTTTATTATAAATTTATAATGATTAAAGATAGAATTAAAGATTAGAAAAGGATTTATTTACTATGCAATTAAAGAATAGAGAACGATGTACTTACTGTTTAGGCATGTAAGAATGGATTCAAAATCTCAATTCAATTTTAAAATTGGGAATACTTATTAGTTTTATGTACATCGACTATTTTTACTTATTTGTTTTATACTTTTATAGAAGTATTTTAATTCACACTACAAAAAAAGGCGGGATTGACACGGAATTTGGCACGGAATTATCAATGTTTCGTGCCAAATAGCTTGTGCCAACGTGTTTTTGGCACGGATTTGGCGTATCCCTGCCAAAATTCGTGCCAAATCCGTGCCAAAATCCCTACCAATCCCGTGTTTTTTTGTAGTGTGATCATATCAATAAATACTAAAATCTTTAATAATCAATAATAAAATTATAAATCACACTAAAAATGTTTAAATTTTAGATATACTACCTCCGTCTCGTTTTATTTAGCCATCTTTGACTCTTTAGTCAAAGATGGTAAACTTTGATCCATCATTTTAACTCATGTATTAATGTGAAACTTACTAAATTTATACTTTTATGATAAACTTTTTAACAAAGAACATTTCCATTTCATTTTCATATTATCAATTTTATTGTATAAATATATAGTCATTCAAAGTTTAACTTCTTTGACTTGAAAAATCAAATTAGTCTTAATAAAAGTGGGCGGAGGTAGTATATAGTTTATTTCTATACTTTATAAGTTATCAATATGCTCGAGTCCAGATCGAACTGAACATGACTATGCTCGAATTCAGCATGAATAACTATTCAAACTCAAAAAAATAACGGCCGTTTTTTTGTAAAAACAAACTATTTAAACTAAAATTTAGCCCATGTTCGAGATTGAAGCTCGTTAAGATTTGGTCATTAAATTAAATTCGAAATCACGATCGAACTCGAGTAGTTCGAAAAAAAACTCAGTTGAAAAACTATCAGTCCTAAGCTAAACCTTTTGTATGCAGTAACGAAAATTGTTATTGCTTAGCCCACCCCACCCCTCATTCCTGAATCCGCCCCTGCATGCGGTCGAATAGATAAGAAAATTGTGCGCTAAGCATTTTCTAGGGTGCGCGGAGCAGGGGCGAATAGGGATGTTTTTACTTGGGGACCATAATTTGTCCCAGACCAGACCAGTTCAGACCAGACCAGATCAGTTCAGACCAGACTAGATCAGACCAAATTTGAATAACTATAAAATACAAAGAGTCAAACATCCGATCATGCCCGACCAGACTAGCGGGTTAAGATCCAAGTCAAAACATCCGATCAGCTACAAAAATCTGAAAAGATTCGCAAATCAACCTCCTAATTATCAACCTCGCGATAAAAAACCCTCCTTCCGTTTGTAGAAGAACCCATAAATTTAAACAGTTGTGCGGGCAAATCAATCTCCTAATTATCAGTCGGAGAACCCATAAATTTAAACAGCAACAACAAACAATTGGGGCAAGGCTACAAGTGCGGGCAAAGCGACGAGTAGGGCAAAGTTTGTCGAAGTTGTGCAGCTTGTGCTAGATTTGGCCTAACCCTGGAGTCAAAAGAGAAGCTTGCCAACCAAACAAGACTTGCTACTGCTTAACCTCATGATATGTGTAGCAAACTGAAGAATAAGGTACTTGGTGTTCTTTATCTACATAATTTAAGTAAGGTTGCTATTTGTTTTTCCTTTTCTTGGTGTTTCGCTGCATTGAGATTCAAAATTGTAGGCTTCGAATCAAATTTGTAGCAATTTGATAGTTTGGTTTTTCTTTGGGTTTTGGTTGCTGAACGGGTGAAATAGTTTCCAAATGATAACTTGATTAGGTGGAATAGATCGATGGGAGTGGAATTGGTATAATGCAGCGTCTCCCTGTTCTCTATTTCCCTCACTGCTTAAGCTTCGGATGGCGATTGGGTCAGTTTTTCTGCTATTCAGCTCACTGAGTCAACCATCTCTCTTTCTAGTTTTTTTTTGTCTCTTTCTAGTTGCAAGGCTAATTAACTGAAAGTCTGAAACCAAAAGAAATAAAAGAAATAGAGAGATCTTTATACTTTCTATTTAAACCAGTTCTATTGTCGCTCTCATTCCACTTCTGCTTTGAGCTTTCAACGGAACAACAAGATCCTCAAGTGTTTCCCTCATGATATAAGTCTAATCGCAGGTAGAAGAAAAAGTGAGAATTGTATGATCTGTATTCTGTAATTGAAAGTTAAATAGAAAATGGGGTGTGCTGTTTCGAGGATGGATCAAGAAGAGAGGGTTCGCCTGTGTAAGGAGCGAAAGAGGTTGATGAGAGAATTGGTTGGGTATAGAGAGGAATTTGCGAACTCCCAATTATCATATTTGAAGGCATTAAAGAACACTGGGGTGACTCTTAGACAGTTTACTGATTCGGACACATTGGAGCTTGAAACCATCTCCTGCGAAGACCACATTGACTCTTCTCCGTTGCCTCCGCCGCCACCCCCACCCCCACCTTTTAGCCCTGATTCAAGAAAGAATGGTGATAATTGGGAAGAGAGCGAAGAGATGGAGAGCAGCCAATCTGGAGATATATTTGATGATAGCTCATCAATGATGAACTGGTTTAATAAAGACTCTTCTACAGATGTGGCCGTGGAAGCTTTGAAAATCAGAAAGACACTTGAGGGAATTATGCAGGATTTAAATGACTATTTGTTGAAAGCATCAGCTGGTGCAACAGAAATAGCAGTTTTTACTGACATCAACATTGGGGACAGTGCCGTTCCTTTGAAAATTAAGGAGAACAAGGGGAAGAGGAGCAGGTCTTCTAAGGCCCTTCCAGTTGGTAGAGATTCTGCTCAGTGTGGATCTAATGAGCCATGCAAGCCTGGCGCTCATTGCGTAACCCTTGATAAGCTTTATGTTGCAGAACAGAATCATTTCAAGGATTTGGAGCTTGAAAGGAAACTGGCGGGACTGCAGAATCAAGACGAAAACAGTTTAGAGACTTACAATGGGCTCCAAGAATCAATAACCACAATCTCTTCATCTATTTTGGAGGTTATTGATGAAGAGTTGTACCCCCAATTGATTGCATTAACTTCAGGGTTAATGGAAATATGGAAAATGATGTACAAATGTCACGATTTGTTTTGAGAGTATGCTTAAAATTATTTCCGAGGTTGTTTTTATTTACATAATGAGGCAGGCTCAATTTCACGAAATTGTTTTGACCTTTTTAAAATGGAATCGAATGTCAAGTTAAAAGCCGTCTGTAGGACTCTTTGTTTTCGTAAAAAGAACCTGATAATATTCCTCCAAAACCTACACAATTTTATTGTTCAATCTAGATTTGTCCAAGTTATAAAATTTACCAGGCAAAATAAAACCTATAGTTTTATGGTATCCAGTGAGTTTGATCTTCATTACGAGATGACAAATAAATGAATAAAAGTTTAAGTTATAAATGTGGCTGAACATGGATCGGGAGATTCAAAACCAGTATATATAGAAAGTTTTGCTAACTTTACAGTTTATTTTATTTTCACGGCGTAAGTGTCATCATTCGACAGTATTTTTAAAATTATTTTTGGTTGTGTTTTTATGATAACGTGTGATATAGTTACTATTGGTGGTGGTCGATAGGTATTTTGCCATCACAAATTTAGGGGTGCTATTTTAAGATTACGGTGGTTTAATGATAAGGATAGTAAGTCTTTGATAACCTGTGAATCTATGATGTAGGCTGAATCACAACTAATGACTTGGAAATTTTTAACAGAGGATCGAACATTAAGTTTGAAGTAACTGATGCGACTCTTAGAATTAGTAAAAAGAGCCTGAAATGTTCCACCAAAATCAATCTAGAGATATTTATTGTTTAATCCAGGTTCAACAGAGTTACGAAATTTATAGGACGAAACGAAACCTCTAGTTTGTGGTAATGCATTGAGTTTGGTTTTTATTACAGGATGATCAATTAAACAAGAATAGATTAAGTTTCAAATGTGAGTAAATAATGGTGGCCTAGTGTCGGTAGGGATTAAAACCAGTATATATAGAAAGTTTTGCTAAGTTAATTGTTTATTTTCATGGCATGTGTTATTATTTGAGAGTATGTTTAAAATTATTTCCGAGGTTGTTTTTATTTACATAATGAGGCAGGCTCAATTTCACCAAATTGTTTTGACCTTTTTAAAATGGGATCGAACGTTAAGTTAAAAGCCGTCTGTAGGACTCTTTGTGTTCGTAAAAAGAACCTGATAATATTCCTCCCAAACCTACACAATTTTATTGTTCAATCTAGACTAGATTTGTCCAAGTTATAAAATTTACCAGGCAAAATAAAACCTATAGTTTTATGGTATCCAGTGAGTTTGATCTTCATTACGAGATGACAAATAAATGAATAAAAGTTTAAGTTATAAATGTGGCTGAACATGGATCGGGAGATTCAAAACCAGTATATATAGAAAGTTTTGCTAACTTTACTGTTTATTTTATTTTCACGGCGTAAGTGTCATCATTCGACAGTATTTTTAAAATTATTTTTGGTTGTGTTTTTATGATAACGTGTGATATAGTTACTATTGGTGGTGGTCGATAGGTATTTTGCCATCCCAAATTTAGGGGTGCTATTTTAAGATTACGGTGGTTTAATGATAAGGATAGTAAGTCTTTGATAACCTGTGAATCTATGATGTAGGCTGAATCACAACTAATGACTTGGAAATTTTTAACAGAGGATCGAACATTAAGTTTGAAGTAACTGATGCGACTCTTAGAATTAGTAAAAAGAGCCTGAAATGTTCCACCAAAATCAATCTAGAGATATTTATTGTTTAATCCAGGTTCAACAGAGTTATGAAATTTATAGGACGAAACGAAACCTCTAGTTTGTGGTAATGCATTGAGTTTGGTTTTTATTACAGGATGATCAATTAAACAAGAATAGATTAAGTTTCAAATGTGAGTAAATAATGGTGGCCTAGTGTCGTTAGGGATTAAAACCAGTATATATAGAAAGTTTTGCTAAGTTAATTGTTTATTTTCATGGCATGTGTTATTATTTGAGAGTATGTTTAAAATTATTTCCGAGGTTGTTTTTATTTACATAATGAGGCAGGCTCAATTTCACCAAATTGTTTTGACCTTTTTAAAATGGTATCGAACGTTAAGTTAAAAGCCGTCTGTAGGACTCTTTGTGTTCGTAAAAAGAACCTGATAATATTCCTCCCAAACCTACACAATTTTATTGTTCAATCTAGATTTGTCCAAGTTAAAAAATTTACCAGGCAAAATAAAACCTATAGTTTTATGGTATCCAGTGAGTTTGATCTTCATTACGAGATGACAAATAAATGAATAAAAGTTTAAGTTATAAATGTGGCTGAACATGGATCGGGAGATTCAAAACCAGTATATATAGAAAGTTTTGCTAACTTTACTGTTTATTTTATTTTCACGGCGTAAGTGTCATCATTCGACAGTATGTTTAAAATTATTTTTGGTTGTATTTTTTGTTTACATAGGTCACAGATCCATATGAGGAGCACTATGAAGGCGGATTTAAGTGTGGGCTTATCAGACTGAGGTGAGTGTTGTGATTGACTTTTTATTTTTATGATAATGTATCATATATTCATTGATTGTGTTGGTCGATAGGTATTTTGTCATCCCAAAATTAGGTGTGCTTTTTTCAATTTACCTGTGAATCTGTGTTGTATTTTCTATAACTGTAACGAGGTAGGCTCAATCATAACTAATTGCTTGGACATTTTTAAAAAGGGATCAGACATTATGTTTGAAGTAGCTTATAGGATTTGGGATTTGTAAAAAATGTCTGTAAATGTTTCAGCAAAACCTTCAGATATTTAATCTAGGTTCAACCAAGTTATGAAACTTATCGGATGAAAGGAAACCTCTAGTTTATGGTGATGTGGTGAGGTTTTTTATTATTACGTACGATCAATTAAACAAAAGTTTCAAATGTGAGTAAGTGTTATAAAAAGTTTGAAACTTGTGTATATAGAAAGTTTTGTTAAGTTTTTTGTTTATTTTATTTTCACGACGCAAGTGTTATTATTTGACACTATGTTTAAAATTATTTCTGGTTGTGTTTTGATTTACATAGGCCGCAGATGCATATGAGGAGCACTATGAAGGCGGATTTAAGAGTGGGCTTATCAGACAGAGGTGAGTGTTGTGCTTGACTTTCTATTTTTATGATAACGTGTGATATAGTTACTATTGGTAGTGGTCGATAGGTATTTTGCCATCCCAAATTTAGGGGTGCTATTTTAAGATTACGGTGGTTTAATGATAAGGATAGTAAGTCTTTGATAACCTGTGAATCTATGATGTAGGCTGAATCACAACTAATGACTTGGACATTTTTAAAAGAGGATCGAACATTGAGTTTGAAGTAACTGATGCGACTCTTAGAATTAGTAAAAAGAGCCTGAAATGTTCCACCAAAATCAATCTAGAGATATTTATTGTTTAATCCAGGTTCAACAGAGTTATGAAATTTATAGATTAAGTTTTTCTATATTTATTGGTTTTTATTACAGGATGATCAATTAAACAAGAATAGATTATGTTTCAAATGTGAGTAAATAATGGTGGCCTAGTGTCGGTAGGGATTAAAACCAGTATATATAGAAAGATTTGCTAAGTTAATTGTTTATTTTCACGGCATGTGTTATTATTTGAGAGTATGTTTAAAATTATTTCCGAGGTTGTTTTTATTTACATAATGAGGCACGCTCAATTTCACCAAATTGTTTTGACCTTTTTAAAATGGGATCGAACGTTAAGTTAAAAGCCGTCTGTAGGACTCTTTGTGTTCGTAAAAAGAACCTGATAATATTCCTCCCAAACCTACACAATTTTATTGTTCAATCTAGACTAGATTTGTCCAAGTTATAAAATTTACCAGGCAAAATAAAACCTATAGTTTTATGGTATCCAGTGAGTTTGATCTTCATTACGAGATGACAAATAAATGAATAAAAGTTTAAGTTATAAATGTGGCTGAACATGGATCGGGAGATTCAAAACCAGTATATATAGAAAGTTTTGCTAACTTTACTGTTTATTTTATTTTCACGGCGTAAGTGTCATCATTCGACAGTATGTTTAAAATTATTTTTGGTTGTGTTTTGGTTTACATAGGTCACAGATCCATATGAGGAGCACTATGAAGGCGGATTTAAGTGTGGGCTTATCAGATTTAGGTGAGTGTTGTGATTGACCTTTTATTTTTATGATAATGTATCCTATATTCATTGATTGTGTTGGTCGATAGGTATTTTGTCATCCCAAAATTAGGTGTGCTTTTTTCAATTTACCTGTGAATCTGTGTTGTATTTTCTATAACTGTAACGAGGTAGGCTCAATCATAACTAATTGCTTGGACATTTTTAAAAAGGGATCAGACATTATGTTTGAAGTAGCTTATAGGACTTAGAATTTGTAAAAAATGCCTGTAAATGTTCCAACAAAACGTTCAGATATTTAATCTAGGTTCAACCAAGTTATGAAACTTATCGGATGAAAGGAAACCTCTAGTTTATGGTGATGTGGTGAGGTTTTTTATTATTACGTACGATCAATTAAACAAAAGTTTCAAATGTGAGTGAGTAAGTGTTATAAAAAGTTTGAATGGCTGATATTAGTGCAACATGAAAAAGTTTTAGTGCAACATGTGCAAAATTTAAATAGTACTGCAATATAAAGCCAATTTTAGTGCAACTTCGTAAATCCAATGGCTGATATTCATTCTCATTTCTCACATTAGATGCATTTCTCACCTGAACCAAAATCTATATATATATACATATATATATATATATATATATATATATATATATATATATAGAATTTGGATCAAATAAAAAAAGTCTTAACGTGTAAAATGAGAATTAATCTCAGTCGTCCAAACTGTCGATTCGATGCACAATAACCCTTATCTGATACACTTTCAAATAGACCTATTTGATGCACTTTTCAAAAAGTACATCAAATAAGGTCTATTCGAAAGTGCATCAGATAGGGGTTATTGTGCATCAGATCGACGCTTTGGACGGCTGAGATTAATTCTCGTTTTACACGTTAAGATGTCTTCTCATTTGAACTAATCCCTATATATATATATATGTAAGGAATAGATCTGGT